AAAGAAATTGCTATTCTGATTGGTCAAATCATATGATGTTTACATGTAAATCATATGATATCATATAAAATTCGTTATACAAAGTTGATTTTATATGAAATTAGAAATTTGTACATCCTACCCTTAAAGAATCATTTAAATTTTCAACTTCTTTATCAGGATAAATATTCGTTAGCTTTTACTACACCTTTATTATATATACTACCTGATCATGTTACAAAAACAATTGTTATAGATGCTATATATGAAACCAATAAATTAAAGTTTAAGTTATATGCTACTCTTGGAATTATTGAGGGTGCCGAATTTCTACTATCTTACTTTTTTCTTGAGCCAAAGCATCCACATGGCAAAACAAATGCAATAGCAAAATAATTATTTTATTTAAAAGAAAATGGAATATATAATGTTGAAATATTTTTAACTGACAAAGATCATAGACAGATCACTCCTATTAACCAAATTTGGACTAATGCAAAGGTCCAATTATGTTATTGGCATGCATTGCGTGCTATTAAAAAAAATTATCTAGCACAGAAATTATATATAATTATTATAATGCACATGAAGTGCATCTTCTTTATTCAATTATTAACCCTAATTGGCAACCAATTAATCAAAATTATACATCTGCAGATAATAGAAATCAGGAGCAATTGAACAATAACAATAAAAATAAGACTTTTTATCAAAAAAATTTTCGCAAAAGTATTCTTTATATGATTTGTAATCATTTTTCAAAACATCCAATGATTCCAGTAGAAGGTATGAATTTTTTGAATGCAAAGCAAATTTGGAATATATGCATTAAAGAGCAATTTTGACTATTGCTATAAAAACAATCTTCCACATATATGAGCATACTTGTGAAATGAGTGGTATTATCCCAAAATGTGGAAAATTTGAGCACATGCATCAAATTCAAAATTAATATTTTACTGAGTACTATGGCTATTGAAAGCCATTGGCGAGTTTTAAAACATGATTTTTTTCAAGTTACAATTATGCATAATTGGATTTAATTATTTATATTATTATTACTAATGTTATTCCACACCAGATTAATCGATTACAATTGTTACGTAATGAACAATGTATAACAAAATGGCGTGAAGATTTTTAAGCTGAATGGAAAAAATTATCAACTGAAATAATTAAGAACAACACTAAGCGTATTACTAATCTTTCACTTTGGGTATGCTTATGTTCTAATTTTCTTTTAATTCAATTTTATTTTTGTAAGCATTTAGTACAAATGCGTAATCCAGTAGAACCTGGATTTTTTAAAAAAGTAAGTATGTAATAAAATTATAATTGCTATAATTTAAAATTTAACATTTTATTTAATTAAGATTACACATCAAAAACCATATCCTTTATTGAAAATTAAAGATAAATCCTCTTTTTCAGATTTACCAAAAAATGTTTATCTTGCAGTTGAAACTCTTACTCCTGAAATTTGTAAATTAATTATATGTAATAGAAAATCCAATTATCAGAAAACATCAGAATATCAAACTCAAGAAGCGTCAAAATATCAAACTCAAGAGGTGTCAGAATATCAAACTCAAGAAGCGTCAGAATATCAAACTCAAGAAGCATCAGAATGTCAAACTCAAGAAGTGTCAGAATATCAAACTCAAGAAGCATTGGAATATCAAATTGAAGAAATATCAAAACGTCATTTACAAGAACATGATGTTTCTATTAATCAAGACTTAATTTTGTTTAAAAAGCGAAAGCAAGAAATTTTTGAATTGCTTGATTCAACAAAAACAATTCTTGAAGAAAATATGTTGAATCCGAATGGTAATAAATGGCTTGATGATATCGACAAGAACTTTGGACCACTACGCAGATTTGTAGAAAACTGTAACCAATTTAAAAGGCAAAAATAAATTCCAAAGACTTGAAAAAATAGAAATCATAATACGTTTTGGCTTTAAAAATAACAAACAGTATTTATTTAAATACATTGATATAAAGCTTAATTCTGCAAATGAAACATTTAAATTATCTTTTGTTTTTAAATCAAAAATTGTAATTCTATTAGCAAATAGCGAAAAATCTTTAAGAAAATAAAGTTACAATAAATATAACAATAATATAACAAAAATGATAAATATAACAATAACGATAAATATAACAATAACGATAAATATAACAATAACGATAAATATAACAATAACGATAAATATAATACTAACGATAAATATAATAATAACGATAAATATAATAATAACGATAAATAACAAAAAAAAAAATAAATATAATAACAAGAATGATATATATAATAACAAGAACGATATATATAACAGAATACAATAATGATAATAAAAAAAATTAATGCATATCACATGATCTTAAAATTTTTGGGTGGTGATTTAAACCCGGTTGGCCTTTCACATCCCTATTCATAACGATCTAAGTCACATGAATTCGTGATCAATCACGGAAACACTTCAAGTGATGTCTAACGGTAATAAAACCTTGTAGTTAAGAAAGGTGGATAATAGGGAGGAAAAATGTATGAATTTTTGACTTAAAGTATTCTTAGGCTTCGATGTCTTGAACATAAAGAAGATATTAAGAATCGATTTCTCAAGTTTTATTTTGTTGCTATTATCGAAAAACCTATTTTCTTGAAGCACTTGTCGATACGAAAATTAATAATCTTTGAAATTTTTTAATAAAAACTTATACCAACCTTATTTTTTTATTTTATTTAATCATAATACATTTCGATTGAAATATTTTTACCCTTGAATTACTTTCGAACTTTTTATTGTTCACCCCATTTCGCCAACAGTTATTTTGCTTACTTTTAATTCTAATCAGCACTAACATTAATTTAAGATAATCCTAACTTTGAATTTAGTCATCCTTAATTATTGGTAAAAGGTTGTCAGAAAAATGAGATCTATCGGCCTAAAAATATAATCTATTTAAAGTTGCAATTTCAAGCACAATTATAATGCTATAATGTATAAAAGTGACGGAACTAAATAATTAAAAAAGAGTGACTTGCTTTCATGCTTATCTTTTATATTATGATAAATATCTTCGTTTCTTATACAAAATTTCATTTAATATGATTTCATTTTAATCTGTCACAATAATTTCTAGCATTTGGTCGCGTTCTTATGAATAAACATTATTAGAAATTAATATTTTAATGTACTTTATAATGTAATTATTGGTTTATTATAATTATAAATTTTGTTTTAAATAATTGAATATTGAAGTGGTTAATAACAAGAATATCTTGACAAATGAACATTTTTGATTAAATTATTTTTTTTCTAATTAACTTTTTTGAGTAAATTTATAAAGTAATATTGTGTTTTGAAATAGATTTGTGTATTTTTTCAATTTTTTTAAAGATATGGTTCAATAAAATAGTTACAATAAGTTAATTAAATAAGAAAATTCTTAACATGCTAGGTTGGATAAGTTTTAACTATATAATAAAATCATATCACTTTCGTCGTATCCCATGTTACACAAAGTATTTTCTACAACCTTTATCATTTCATTTGGCCCACAAACAATAATTTTTCGATGCAAAGTGATACTTCCAGAGTTTTTATCAAACATAGGACTGATTCCTCTTGAACGACTTATTGGCCTAATTATAGATCCAGTTTCATCCTCAGAAGTCGTGATTATTGACGATGATCGTGAACTGGATGCTTGTAAGTCTCCTGTTTGTAACGCTGAAGTAAGAGTATTAAGATTTGACGTTGATTGAGATTTTTGTTTAGATACTTTCCTTTGTAATGAGAATTTACTATTATTAAAGTCATCGCTTATTTCTTTATTAACTTGCGATAGAGAGGAGACAAAAGATTGAATTGACTTTTTTTGATCGTCTTTGATGATATATGAGTCATGATTTACGATATCACGTATTGAATGGCTGAATAAAATGTTTCCAGCATTTAGAGAACTTTGCTGTTCAGATAAAAATGGATATAATTTACACCCCATTTTAGATAACCATTCTGTTATTATGTTCGAATCAATCATTCCACTTAAGCCTTTCCATTCTTCAGGTGGATTTGTAAGGCAATATGTCACGGTAAATAGTCCACGACTTGTGACTGCTAAATCTTCGAGTAATATGCCATCAATGATATCTTGAACTGTGTCACTCGTATATAGTAAATGCATCTTATAATTATCATTAATTTGTTTTGCTGATTGTTCCAAATGATACCTTATCAACTATATTAATTGAATTATTAAAAAAAGAATTTTTAATATAAAAACGCATATTATTTAGAAGACCATGAAGGATCGACAAATATGCACCAATCAGACCTAATATAATTTTAATGTGCAATATTTTATATTAAAGTTTCATGAAGTTTTGTTTTATTAGAGTGCAGTTAGTTTCATAGTGTTATCCATTGGTTTCACTCACATTTGTTCTAGTGCCGATCATTTAAAGTCTGATTGGTGCACTTGGAACGATTTTTCATCATAGTCTTATGAATTGTTATTACATTTTTAGTTACGTACCTGCAGCATTGGTGTTACACCAGTACCCCCTAGATGCATGCAAGCAAGCAAAATTAATCACAGTTGATTTAAGAACAAGTAACAAATAAAATAAGTTTACCAGCAATCATGTATAATTCATCCCAACATCCATCAATGCTATTCGGATTTAATAAAGAACCTTTTGGAGTAAATAGTAATGTTCCAACGTAAGGTGATAATTCAATGTCGAACGGACCACGGACCAAAATTTCATATCCTAATAATTGTTTATTCTGAAATACCATAAAAATGAAAAGTAAAAAAAAAGATAATTTTTTAGAAATAATTTACTTATAAATATAACATACCAAGTGCCGAGATAAAAGTCCATCCTTATAAATTTTAACATAAATCGAAAATGATTTTGAAATTGTGCCTTCCAGTGGACAATATTTTCGTGTTACCATTTGACCTTTTACTTTCGCAAATAACTCAACATAATTTCCTGGATAGAATCTCTCAGTATTTTCATTTTTATGTTGATAAATTTTAGTGAATGTAAATCTCATTACAGGAATTTTCTTATTTACACTAACCGTCGCTTTACTAGTAAGCTTATAACGGTTAAATTTAATATTCTCTATACTAGAAAGTAATTCATTATTATAACCAATTGGTGAATTTTGACTACCAGTAGACGTTGTTATTAAAGAAAATTTATCTGACATATTATCTTTTTCAACCTTTTCAATTTTACCTATAACCATTGAAGCCATCTTCTGAGCCGCAAGTTTACTATGAGTATGTTGAGCAATAGGAACTTTTTTATAATAATTTGAATTAAGAATATCAATCTTGGTAGCAAAACTACCCTTTTCTTGAATAGTATATCTCCCTTGAAGATGATGAATATATTTATGTATCATAGAATTCTTCCTGGAAAATCCTTCGGTTGATAGTATAGGAATGCCTGGTGCATCAAATTCTTCGGTGATTGAAATATTTTGATGCTTATTGTAAAAATCTATATATGAAAAAATATGCATAATGTTATAATGTTTTGAATGAGCAAAATTTGATCTCCAATAATTTTAGAATTTTACCGTTGGTAATATCTGACCCAACAACCTAATAGTTTATATGTACAAATTATTATAATGAGTTAAACAATAAATTTTATGATTTTTTTTTATATATTGCGAATAATTAAAAAATTTACAAACCCTTCTAATTATATGAAATCCACCTATTAAATTTGTTAAATTCAATGTTAAAAAATATTAAAGTTATTCCTTTTTCTTGAATAATTTAAACCTTTTTTCCAACCTGGATGAGAATGCATCCATTTGTGAACATCAACTACAAGTCCACCACAAACAACAAAGTTAGCCTAAATCGTAATCATTATATATATATGTTAATAATTTAATTATCAGAATTTTTAAATCAGAATAATTTAAACTTACACCATGTTGAACACGTTCATTAAATTCATTCCAAGTAATTTTTGGCAATTTATCATAAACTTCACTACAAATATGAGGGTGTCTCGAAGATTTTTTCTCACTCATAAACTCATAATTCCATTTGAGTTCGGCAAATACGAAACAAGTAATTATTAGCAATATCCAAAAACCAAAGATCATTTCTATCCACTTCATATTACTAGTCAATAGTTAGAAAACAAAATACGTTAAATTCGAATACATAAAACTATTAAAAATTAATCAAAAAAGAAAAAATTAGGTCAGGAAATTTTATAACTTTTAAATCCTAATTCTGCTCCTAACAAAAAAGAAACTGCCAAGTCATAATAACCCGGCTAATAGCAGTCACAGAGCGAGCCATGTTTCATCGTTTTTTACTTTCATATTTAGTTCATTAATTTTCATTTTACTATTCATTTCATCGACAACTTTGTTCACCTAAATGAATTTACAGACAAGCTAATTAATTCACAGGCAAGCCTCACGGAACGGTTTGGGTCGGTTCAGATAAGACCCGAAACCGAAAAACCAGGATTCAATCCGGAAAACACGGGCCGATCCAAATTCAGCCAATCAACGTGCATCATTTTCTTTCGGGTCGGGTCGGGTCCTAATAAAGACCCGAAACCAGTCGGATCGGAAAAATCATAAACCCGGACCCGAACCGTGGCAGAGTTCGGTCAGTTCCGGATCTTCGGTTCGGGTCCGCGGAAAACTAAGGTTAGTAAAATTTTCCGGTGAAATGAACTTGTCTGTGAATTAATTGTCGGCAAAATAGGTTTGTCTGTAAATTAATTGTCAGTGAAATGATACAGATCCTATGAAACTATGGCTTAATTTTTTAATGCTCTCCAATATAAATTTGTATGTAATTGTAAAAACTTTTCATTATTTTGTCTATTTTGTGCGTATTTATAATTACTTCTAGCTATACAGAATATTCTTAAATTCTAAAATGTTTTAAATGCTGCATGTATACTTACTAGTTGTAATAGGTTTCGAAGGCATCAAGTCCTGAAAATACAAAATTAATATATTCAGTAAGAAATAAATAAATACAATCAGATTTGCATATAAATTGCCTACCTAGATATATATTGAACCTGTTTTTTTTTTTGCATTAATAAATTAAATAAAATAATGATAATTAATAAAATAAAATTAATAAATATAATATTTTCTTAAGCAAACGAAACTTCAAAATTACTATTATGTCTGACGAAGTGCATTCTTTATATATGTAAAAAATAGTCAAATTAACAAATCACATATGCATAATATTGTTTCTTATATAATGACATATATTTAGGAAATTTATTTTTCTTTGAATGATAGAACGTATTTGAAATATTCTTATTAAAGATCATGATAATTACCATGCTAACAATACCAGTGAACCCCCAGCTAATTGATGAAAACGTTTTAGAAATCTTGGATAACCCTAATATAAATTAGTAATAAAGTTAATACATAACAATAAATAAATACTTGCATATTTAAAGTACCTTATTAATTGATACTAAAGCATTTTGTCCCCATGTAATTAGTAGACCTGAACCTAATAAAATAATAAAAATAAAAATTAACCCAAAATGTAAATTTATGATTTTAATAAAATTAACGTGTTACCTATTTGGGTAAATGACAAAGTAAAAACTATTAAAGCAACCCTAAGGTTGAAAATGAAATTTAATTTAACATACAATTTTAGGTTATAGTAAAAAAAAAAATAATAATACGGAATAAATACCAATAATGTGGTTTAGTTTTTTTAATATAAGTTGCAATGGCTAGAGATCCAAAAGTCGAGATAGAAACACCACCCGCTAACTGTAGAAATCGGTGAGCTTTGAGATACAGATTATGATGCTAGACATATTTGGTTGAAATTTATATTTTAATGATGCAAAATTTTTATGCGAATGAAATTTGTTAACGTGTAACTTACTTTGAAATATCGAACTATGAAAATTGATATCGGAAATAGGATACTAAAGAATATTAAACATATTGTATTAAAATCAAACATACTTTTTTGACAAATTTTTTGACATTACAATTTCTTACCACCAAATTAAAATCATTACACAGCCATGGACAATTCGAACCATCCGGGTTTGTTCGTTACATATTTGATAAGTTTCCCAATCTGATTGCTTGCCATTACCGCTATAGTTGTTATATTATTTATTTATTTATTACACGGGATTTAGAAACTAGTCAAATAATATAAATAGATTGTTTGATAATCATTTTAAAAACGAAATTACATACCTCAAACTCATTTCACTAAAATTTTTTCAGTATCGCTTTTCAGAATACAGTTAGCAATGGTGTTATTAATATGATTAATAAATTGGATTAACTAATTATAAAATTTTGCATAACATGTTTACGAAAAGGCGGATATGTTTATATTCATTTTTATATCGTTTGAATGCACATCAAAGCCTTGAATAACTTGAGAAAATGACTTTTATCATACTTTGGATCGGTCAAATATATATGTAAGGTATCTGATAAGAAATTCATAAAAAGACACTAAAAATGGATGTGATCAACAAAATCACGCAAAAAAATAACAAATTTATTATAATTATTTTGTTTTAGCGATTTGCATTTCCACCATGGTAATTTGTTTATTTTCACCATGGAGATCATGGATATGTAGATTATAGCCAGATTAGAGTTATGATCAGGGGGTTAGATTTTATGATGTTAATCATTTATGGTGGAACCATGGTGGAAATAGTAATTCACTATTTTATTATTAATCCATAATTACAGTATAGCGCAGCCGACTATATGGGCTATGTTCTGAGAAAAGGGATCAAATTAACAATTTTTTTAAAAATAATTTTTAAGCTTAACTAATCCAAAATTAGCCCAGAAATATTTTTTAATTAAGAAACAAATTCTGTTAACTTAATTGAAGTTTTTATATTATAGAATTTAATCAAATTTTTGCAAAACTTTTTTTTGTCAATTTGGACCATATGCCATAGAAGGTGTTGCGACATAGTTTCTACCTGAATTTTGGTATAAAACTAAAATTTACACCACCATAAGAGTTGAAAGTAAAAGTTTAAATTATGATTGATATATCGCTAATTGATATAGTTATATAATTATAATAGAAGAAATGAAGAACTTTTTATGTTAGAAGAAAAAGGAAATTATATTATGCGACAGCCACTATGATCGTGCCAACAGAGTAACTTGTTTTTATCGTATAGTTCCGAAAAAGCAACTCTTTTTTGCATGTAATGCAAGCAAAAATAATTATAATGCAGGCCAAGGGTGCTTATTTTCGATACTATACGGTATTTACAGAAACGTGCAAATTTGCAACTTCAATGTTACATGCAATTAACTATAAAATAACTAAATAATTACTTTATAGTAACTGTAGTTTTACATTTAATATCAGTTACTATAAAGTAACTACCGTATTTAGTTACATAATTAAAATTGGATAAAATGTATGGCCAGACCAATTTAATTCGGTGGTTTACGTTACATCCTTCTCACAAAAGGGGGGCGGGCTGGAGTGAGTTTATTATAAAGTTTTTTTCCGAAATGATCCGCGATATAATAAAAGGTTTCCGAAATTTTCCGCTCATATAGTGAGGGGGAGGGGTAACTTAAACTACCGAATTAAATTGGCCTGGCCTATGTTTTAAACCAAAACAATATTGCTATAGCTATATTATAATAACGTATTTTACTGTTATTACTGTATTTGCAGCAATTATATCTATATAAAGATTTTTTTGAACAAATTTGCTTGTCTTAATATGCCACTTATAAACGAGCACTAGTCAAAGTGTCTAAAATCAATACAGGGTCATATTATATTCAATATGGTTAATTGGTTGTCGATATGCCGAATGTATACTGGTTATTATCGGCATTCTGCCAACAGTTAACCACTATTCAGCAAGTTAGATGCTAAATGTTGGTTGAATGCTGACAGAATGCCGA